CTACGTACCCACTACCCAGGCACCTACGTACCCACTACCCAAGCACCTACGTACCCACTACCCAGGCACCTACGTACCCACTACCCAGGCACCTACGTACCCACTACCCAGGCACCTACGTACCCACTACCCAGGCACCTACGTACCCACTACCCAGGCACCTACGTACCCACTACCCAGGCACCTACGTACCCACTACCCAAGCACCTACGTACCCACTACCCAAGCACCTACGTACCCACTACCCAAGCACCTACGTACCCACTACCCGGGCACCTACGTACCCACTACCCAGGCACCTACGTACCCACTACCCAGGCACCTACGTACCCACTACCCAAGCACCTACGTACCCACAACTATCCATGACATATGTATTAGGGTCAACCCACCTCCCAGTGCCCCGTGATTTATGGTCAATATCACGACTGATAATGTTTGAGGTCTGGACGTGGTTGTGATCCGCGGTCAGACTCCTGGCGCCCCCTGGCGCCCCCTGGCGCCCCCTGACGCCCCCTGGCGCCCCCTGGCGCCCCCTGACGCCCCCTGGCGCCCCCTGACGCCCCCTGGCGCCCCCTGACGCCCCCTGGCGCCCCCTGTCGTTCCAGGCACCTGTATTACTGGTGCCTGGACGGCCCTGCAGGCTCCCTATAGTCATAAATATATCCATTATATTCTTCTTTTATTATTATTAGTGTTGTTACCACCGTCTAACCAGCAGTGTCTGGCCTTGTGGTAGAACGGAATTTCCCCGTTTCCCCTTGATACCATCCTTGGCCTTTTGGTAGGAGAGGACTCCCCTCCTGCCCATAATGACCCTGGCCTACTGGTAGAGGCGCAACACAACCTGTGAATGAAGTCTTGTTGTGTGTGACGTCATCAGGGGGCGTATAAATACGTCCCATTCATGAGTGATCAGAAGAACACAAATGCGTAACTACAGCGAGTGTTTTCCCCATAACAAAACCTATCGTGTGAATGACGCATTGTCTGTCACTGTGATGTCATCTCGTGTTTACGTTTCATATTGATGGTTTGAGTCACCATTAATTATTTCGTGTAGGATTTGTCAATATCCTGAGTGAGTAATGGTTTTCCCACGGGGGAACCGCTATGAATGGACGCTTATAGTAGCGATGACAAGGGTAAACACGCCCCCTCTCGTCATTGGCAAAGTTTTTAAACATAATTGTACTTTTTTCCCCCCCTTCGAGTGATGAACTTGAGGCAAAACACACACACACTTAACCTTCAACGCGGCACACTTTGCAAAACAAACAGAACAAGTGCCAAAATGATGGCGTGAATTCGAGTGCTTCCACAAGATACTCTACCAGGGACGCACTTCATATGCAAATGTTGTTTATACGAATGTTGGGTGCTGTGGTTAGCAGCTGAGGGGAGCTGTGAACCAACTTGTGTATTACTGACCAGGCGGGGTCAAGCACTGGCATGGGACACCTCTCTCACCCTCCCCCCACACACACACCTGACCCCAGACAACACACGGGGACTACTGACCCCCACACTTGACCCCAGACAACACACGGGGACCACTGACCCCCACACTTGACCCCACACAACACACGGGGACTACTGACCCCCACACTTGACCCCACACAACACACGGGTACCACTGACCCCCACACTTGACCCCACACAACACACGGGTACCACTGACCCCCACACAACACACGGTGATCACTGACCCCCACACTTGACCCCACACAACACACGGTGATCACTGACCCCCACACTTGACCCCACACAACACACGGTGATCACTGACCCCCACACTTGACCCCACACAACACACGGGGATCTTAATGCTCCTCATAGCGGTACTATTCAAACGCGGCCAAAAGTTCCAAGTCATCTCTACAAACAAATGCTGCGCGTAAAAAAAAAAAAAAAGCTATACGCTGTGCGTAATTAATCTACCTGAATTTACCCGAGGTCCGGCCCCATCCCTCTTGAGCTTCTTCGGGAACAGGAAGCTGGCGGCTTGTCAAAGGTAGCCCCTTGTACCTACAACTGTAACATGTTCCTATGTAGATTTTATAAATAATTTTTTTTAGTATTATTATTACTGTAAGATCATCAGCATACCTCTAGGGACTTTGAACCTTTTCGTATACTGCCGGAATACAATGAACCCACTACTGCTGGTAGTCGTCGGCTCGCCCTGTAGAACCTTCTACACATTCCCCCACCCCCACCCACCCCAACACACACAGACAAGGCAAGTGTCTAACACCCTCTAATACTCCTGGGTGGGCAATAAAAACAACAGGAACCAGACACCCGTTCACAAGGGCACAAAATAAAAAGCCTTATAAAGCTTCGTCAGACTTGAGTTCCAATGCCTGGATGCCCAATTACGATCGCGTCTCATGCATTTATTCCGCCATGTTAGCTCCCAGTTACACACAACACGTTTAAAGCCTGTTTAATGTTCCACTTTTCGAAGGTCAACATTGGGACTCGTGCACGGGCAATGAGAGTTCTGGACGCTTCAGCGAGTTCATGACACGTTCAGGGTGTTCAGAAAACTTTCAACGATATTATAAAACAGCCTGGGAGTTCGGGAAGCGTTTAGAGAGTTTACAAATCTTGTATGGAGTGCAGAAAATTTTCAGGGAGTTCAGAAAACGTTAAGGGGAGTTTAAATGAAGTAGACCACTGTGCTACAGGGCCCACTGATGTAGTATTCGACACCCAAGACACAAAGTTGCAAAATAACTTGTTATATCGAAGCTGACAAAGATGCGGACGGTCTTCAGGAGCCTAGACAGGAGCCGTCAGAATGCTGCACACGACCATACAAGACCTAGCAAAGCACTACAGTCACCTTCTGCGGTTGATTGTTCAATAAATCACTGAACTATTTGTTTAACAGATCTCTAACCCTGTCCATGGAGGATAAAATAAAATGTATATATGCTGGTTAGCATTGTAAATGTGCGGCCACGTCTGTGGTAGAAAAAAATTACGTTTTAGTACCCCTTATTTTGCATGTTGTGGCAAGTCAAGATAACGGATTGGACTGAAATATGAGAAACAGCTTCTCCAGGAAGTACAGAAACACATAATTCCCGTTGTCCGGGGCAGTAGGCCTACACTAAGCTAACCCAGGTCCTCCCCAAGGCCAACTACTGACCTGCTTAAGGTTCCAATCCTGAATCTATTCAGGATTCAGGGTATCTATTTACTGCAAGGTGAACAGAGGCTCCTGGTGAAAGGAAACGTGCCCAACCATTTCTGTTCCACCAGAGGATAGAACCCAGGATCTCTATTGAAAATCGAGGACGCAGACCACTATATTACAGGAACGGTAGTGACAGTGAAATGAAACTCTATAAACCATCTTCAAAATATGACAAGAATCGTCACAATACACAATATAGTGCATGAAACAACAGTAATCTTGTACTCCTGGGCTCAGGAGCTAAAGCTCTACCGTGCAAGACGTTTAACTAAATACACTAAGTACTCGAGGCACTCACTGACCCAAGTAGTCGGTAGCAACAAACTATTGACAACTTCAAACCTATATCAAGGATGAGAAACTATTGTTTTTTTTAAATCGACGAAAAAAAGTGTATAAATTATGATAATGATGATGATGACAAGACCATTTGGTTATGTTAATGACAAGAGTCATAATGATGACGTTAGTAACAGTGGCCTAACCAACAAGCAAGATGAGTTTTCGGCTGTCGATGGACACCCACCACATAAAAACTGGTTTGGCAGGTCAGGTCTCCCTACGCCTACTTCTCGCACCATCTGGCGTTCGCCTCACCTTACGCCCTATGTCGGGCAGCACATACAACAGTTTCACAATACAGCACAATGCATTGCACAACAATAAATCACTTCACTATACAATAAAACTACAACACAAACCAATATATAATGAATTAAATCACAAAACATGACAACACAGCACAACATAATACAACACAGCACACCTAATTTATTTATATATTAGCAATTGATGTAACTATCTCAAAACATGACAACGCAGCACAGCATAATACAACACAGCAGAACATAACAACACAACACAACTGATTTATTTTAGCAATTTATGTAACTATCTCAAAATTGTTGTAATTTACTAAGCTAAACGAATTTTGGGGGTTCGGTTCCTGAGCCCATTATGTGGCTCTGCATCATTTCCATTAACGCTCACAAGAGAGGCAGTCAAATCGTGCACAAACGCTTTTGATAAAGCTTATTTTCTAATTGTCAAACCGTATATCGTTAGATTAGGCTGCGTTACCTTAGGCTTGGCTGTTTGGTTGGGGGGAATGCATGATCAACAAACTAAGCTCGATACACTGCAATTAAATAATACAACTGAACTTGATGCAGATAAAGCATAAAATTACGTGCACAATATATAGGAAACGTGTTACCAAGGTAATGTTATTTCCACTACTGGTAGGCAACTCTGCATCACAATTGGCTCAACATTTGATTATTGTTGTTTTTTAGATTCAGCTGCTCGAAACGCAAGTTCAGAGCAGCACGGGCTATGGTGAGCCCGTAGTGGACTTACCTGGCACAGGACCGGGGCTGTAACTGAAAACATTTGATTCATCATCGTCGAATATATAAAATTCCGTCGTGCGGGTGTGCGAGCGCTCGCTTACCTCGACCCAAGGCCTCCACAACACAACCGGTTCACAGAGTCGTCAATTAAACAACCTCCAGAATGTGGCAAATCCGAAAGGGTTGTGATTGCATCCTAATATAAACATGTTATCATTATATCGACAGAAGTTTAAACTAACTTGAGCATAAATTGATTTTAGTAGTGTTACAGAGATGTGACTAAATAGTGATGAACCGTTTTTGGCGCGTATATAGCGTTTACATTTGTTGACTGGAATATATTGCGTTGTACAGCCTACTCTACAATATCGTCTCTGTGGAGAGTTAATTTATAAACACCGACTATTGTATTTTAATAATCTTGTTAAGACACTGACCTGATCCTTCGTGTTGACTGCTTCCTGCTGGGGTCACTGGCAGAGATATTAGTGGTGATGGGTATATGTGTAGGCTCTTCGCAATGTCACATATCATGCTCTCTCTCTCTCTTCCACTCCCTCCATACTGCTTTACCAAGTTACTAGCATTTTCTTCAAAGTACACCTGGCACATATCAAGCAGTTTGTGATTGTAAAGTTCATTGTCAGGGTCGAGTTGAGGTGACAAACGTTATCTGGCGTATGTTTATCACAGTTCCACCTGTCTTGCTCTCCACCAACCCCCCGCCTTTTACAAGCACCAACACTGCACTGAAACCAGACTTGTAGTGTTATAATGGTAACTACATGTTACCTGGACCAGCTACGGTACACCGGTGCTTCCCTGTAAACAAATGTCTACGTTCCAGGACTAAGAACTAGGCTCCAGTGCTGAATGTCTGCGAGTGTCAGAGGCTAAGAGGCGCCTTAACTACGCTACACGTGTCGTCTGAGTGGCACAAGACAGGTTGTGTTGGCTCGTGGTGATGAGGGAAGAGAGGAGTGAGTGTGGGGAGAGCGAGGGAGAGGCGTAGGGGAAGGGAGGGTAAGGTAAGGAGTCCAAGTCAGCTTCAGGCAGCGACTGCCAGCGATAGGTGCGTACGCTGCGGAATGCGGACTGGTACTGACTCGGGGGCGCTGAGCAGTCTCCCTTGTTGCTGCTGCTGCATGGCGGCGCTCTACGCTTCTTCTTCTTAATGCTGTTGCTTGCTTCTTGGGGGGTAGTGATGCCATGTTTGTCGCTCGTGGTGGTTTTGCTTGCAGGTGGTGCCAGTCATGCTACTATGCTTGATATGGGTTTGGCTTCTTGATGGTGATGTTTTTGTTTGCTGGTGGTGCTGCCTCACTTGGTGGTGCTGCACCTTAATGTTTTTGATGATGCTGCCTCGCTTGTTAGTGTTGCTATTGCCTCACTTGCTGCTAGTGGTATATATATAAAAGTTCAGCTGGTACCTGGCTCTATCAGTTACAGCCCTGCTCCTGTGTTAGGTAAGTCTACTACGGGCTCACCATAGACCGTACTACTTGGAACTTTTTGTTCCCAGTAGCTGAATCTAAAACAACAACAACGATACTTGACCTGTTCATGTCTCTTCGCCTATTGTTAGTGGTGGAGGTGCTGCTGCTGCCCAGCTGGTAAGCCGGAGTTTCTGAAGAAGAACAGGCACGCCTCTGATGGTGATCTCTCGTCTGGATCATTGCTCATTCAATGCAGGTGAGATATCCCATCTAAGGTAATAACAATATATACAGATAGCGTCTACTGCTCGCACAGTCAACAAACCCATCCAAGGCGCTAAGATTGCCACAGAACGCTCACTTTGTAGGGGTGATCTACCTTCTCCACTCACAGTCCAGGTTACCGAGTTTGATCCCGGGCGGGATAGAAGTGACTGGACATTTCTCCTTTCGCCTAATGCCTCTTTTCATCTAGCAGCAAATAAGTATCCAAGGAGTTAGGCAACTGTTATGGGTTGCATCCTGGAGAAGGTCAGTAGTTCCATCATGTGGGGGGGATAAGGGGGGGGGAGATTGATCTCAATACAAGTATGAGTACAGGCTTCCTGTCATACAAAGCATACAATATTCATTGGTATTATTCAAAAGCCAGGTCCTAATGTCTAAATATCATGCACAGTAACGTGAGACAGGGTAGAGGACCCGTACTACACCCGGGGAGCAGCAGGGGCCTTATGGGCTCACCATAGCCCGTGCTACTTGGAACTTTATGTTCTCAGTAGCTAAATCTAAAACAACAACGACAGCAGGGGGCCTCGAACCAACAGTCACACAACGCTGTGTCAATACCAACCCGCAGCCCTCCGACATTACGTAGATACTCTTAACAAATTTTCTTCATTGAGAAAGTGGACATTGAAATACCTGACGATGCAGCGTCGTCAACGCTACTTATCTACTAGTAGCTACTTATCATGTTATAATTTGTTGCTTCATTGTCTGATGTTGGCTTTTATACCCGCCTTGTTACGATGGTTTCATCGTAACATTGATGAAACCATATATAATCAAAATACATATGCAAGATTTCTAATTCATGAGATTTACTTTATTATTAGCTAAATGCGTTCATTGAATTTAAGTTTATTCTATAATAAAGCGAGGCAAATTGAACAGTATAATTGAACTTCACAGGGTGAGTATTAGATGCACAACAAACCACCGCCACACAGGGTGAGTATGGGGTGCACAACATACTACCGCTCACAGGGTGAGTATGGGGTGCACAACAAACCACCGCTCACAGGATGAGTAGTAGTAGTAGTCGCCATCCAATAGTGTGCACAATAAATCATAGCAGCTTTGGTGCCGGCAACAATCATCAATCAAAGGGATCGCAACAAAAATCCAAGTATACTATTTTTATACAACAATAATATATTTACGTTAATTTCAATAATTGTAAAGATTTCAGTCAACATTTTGCCATATAAAACCATGTTGAAAATAAGCTAGTTTGTTTGTTCGGCGTCGGCTGGACCGCACCCAGTGACACTGAAGATAAAAGCCAGGTGTTCCACCTGGTTATGCAAAGTATTTTGTGTCATACCCAGATTTAATGGTCACAGATTTAACAAAACTCTGGCAAGCGTTTGCTTGTCGGATCAGCGGTGGTAGGCTACTGAGGACCCTCTCCAAATGTTATACGCGTTCGAGAGTCCTCTTGAAGTGAGGCTTCGGCCAGACATTTCCCATGTGCAGCTGAAAATTAAACTGAGTTCAGGTAGAACTCATTAGAAATATGAATTGCACCTTGACAAAAATCATGACAGGCAACGTGTTCTTTATGAAGTCACGCAAGAAACTTTCCATAAAGAGGAGCACCGGAAAATGTTGTAAGATAAATGCGAGTAGGCTATTGGAGGCCACAAAGTTTAGTGCTTACAATAACTACTTTCAACACCGAGGTAATTCCCAGCACCACCACCACCACCACAGGCATCACCACCACCACCACCACAGGCATCACCACCACCACCACCACAGGCATCACCACCACGGCAACCATCACCACCACCACCGCTACACCCACAGGACACAGAAGGCGGCGTCAAGCCCCCCCATACACACCCACAACATTACATGGTTGTGTTAATACAAAAAGACGAAGGAGGAAAAGACAAAGATAAAAAACGTCAACTGTATATTCCACAATTTAGTCTAAGTCGAAAATCTACTAAAATTAAAAAACTAAAAAAAAGTTTTCGAATATATCCGAAAACAAGTGTAAATCAAAGATATAATTTTGGAAAAGATACTTTTGATAAATATTTCCGTTCAAAAGTCTTCTAGGAATTTCCACCAAGTACTCCAAAGAATATTCATTAAATTGCTTCACTGGGAACTTCCCGAACATCTGCTGAAGACTTAATAAGTGATTAATAAGAAAAATAAAAAGTAAACATGATGCTGGACATCGTGAAGGAATACGCCCTCTATCCGGACGTGGTTGAAGAATTTATGCTCACCATGTGGGACCTTCCCGTCGAACTGCTGCAGTTACATTAAATATATTCATTGCAATATTTCAAAAGAATATGCTTCTCCAGGGTTACTTTTCATATGTGGCCAATACCCTTCGATAAATATTTCGTGGATGTCTTTATATTATTAGTATATTTCGTAGTTGTGATTGCGGCTCTTATCGTAAATATCGCCAAAAGAATCTACAGGTATCTTTAATTATTTTATTATTTTAGACATTTCTCAGCAACAGCATTTGGGGCAGTGCTTCACGACCAACGTATTATGAAACAATTACACAAGGAGAAGATCATACGGTAGATGCTTAAGTTACTTAATAGCAGACTACGCAAGACTAATTTTAAAAAGTTTTGGTAATCTGAGGTGCTCACCCTACCGGAGTATAGTTATAAAAGCCTCGTCAAGCATATAATAGGCTGCATCTTATGGATCCTATTTTTTTAACTGTTTTTGGTTGCATACATATATGTTAATTTTCTAGTTTTTAGAGAACTGAGAACTGACGTGATGTATTTCGGGTAATTTCTTAACGTGCTGTTCATTATAGGGGCATTTACCAGCGTCGGGAAGACGGTGTGCTCCAGCTTGATAGTATATATGGTCTCCACTTTTGGCCAGAGGATGGCCTTTTTTACCCTTTGGTTGAATTTTTATCAGGCTTTTTTTTATATGGTTGAAAATTATTTCTAAGTATTTTCGTAATATGAGTGTTTCGAGAAGAGAGTAATTAATCTGCTAAATAGGGCTGCAAAAAGTACAGTAAGAAAAACTTTTAAAATAATTAGGACCGTGATGTAATACGCGGATCAAGTCCGATACTAAACAGGATTAGCATTATAACATGCTGCTTTTAGCAGAATGATGTATAAGAAGTTAATGGAATACCTAAGAAAAATATTTTTGGGTATATTTGATAACATTAATTTGTGTAAGGAAGGTGTACCCAGTCCGTACGACGAGTGCGTAACGCTGTTCCAGATCGCTATACAATACTGTTCGGCAGTGTTCTTTCCCACCTTCTGCAGCTCCACCATAGGGGCCATTGAGAACTTCTTTTGCGGCATGGTCAATTTCTCCGTTACGTTCATTTGCGAATTTCCAAAATAATTTCATGAAATGCTAGACGAGATAGAAGAGGCACTCTTGGATCTCGGGGCAGATCTTGTTCACGAAGTAACTGAGGATTTTGAGATTACCATCAACATAACTCAACATTTTAACAATACTCTCACCAGCTCAACTTCCTCCGAGGATTTTAAAGGCTAAGTCGTCAGACACATGAAGGGTTTCTTGCCCAGTGAAGATGTGCCTTTATATTTCTACAGCATCTTCAGCACACTATTGATCATCTATATTGTAATTTTGTCATTTACGGACACCTATCGATTTGCAACAAACGATTCATTCATTAATACATGTGTAGGGACAAGAGACTTTTACGAGCAAGAAGAACTGCGGGTGGACAGAGGGCTTGAAAGTATCCTTCCCTTGACATCATTTGACTATCAACTTGTCACTGCTTCGTTTTATTCCTATCCATTAACGCTTTAAGAGTGGACGCTTAATTTCGTTAAAGTGTACTGGTTCGCGATTCTTGCTACTATCATAACCGTAATATTTTCCATTATGAATAAGGCCGTTATAGTAGCTGAGGAGACATTAGGCAACTTTAGCACCACCTTAGATGAAAGCACGCGCGGCAAAGAGGTAAATAGCATATTTAAAGTGAGTTTGCCTGGATGTGGAATATTTCCAGATCTATTAAAATAAGGCTTCGAAAATATGCAGTCGTTTTAGCTGGACGATGATGAGGAGGAGGAGAAGATTGAGGAAGCAGAATGCATCGTTTCTCTCACTCCGGTGCCAGAGAGCATCATGAATGCCATGTACTATAGTCTCTGTTTATATATCGTATTTAAAACTATTGAAATTATTTATTAACAAATACAACCACTTTTCCTGGCCTGGTTCCTTCCCCACAGGAAGATTCCTCGCGCCCTAGACCTCATTGAACGAATACGTGACCATAGAGGAAACAACCTTCCTACATTTGCAAAATCTAAAAAGGTTTTCTACGATAAATAAAAAGACAATCGTTCATGGTTTTCGAAAAAGTTCGACTATTTTAAAGAAATAATATTAAAGG